ACCCAAACCAAAACAGATACCGCCTGGTCTAGGAGGACCACCGTCCTGTTGAAAAATCAAATGATCTTCATCATACTCTGGAACATTTTCAATAATATCAGTCAAGGTAGGGTCATAGCGTCTTCCAGTAATTGCAAATACATTTGGCCAGTCAAATTACCAGGTAGAAATAAAGGACCCACCAGCCGGTCAGCGAAAATTCCAGCCCATACATTTAATTTTTCCGGTTAATGTGTATGCACCTCGTGGAAAACTCTTGGGTTTGAATCGGACCAATAGCGGCAATTGTGACGATTCGGAATATGCGCGAACGTTTCGAACAAAATCTTTATTCTTGTATGGAAGCGGGCGGTCATCAGTTTGAACATTTAATCAACTAAGTAGTAAGTAAGCAACTAAACATAATTTAAATTTTAAAATGTAATTTTTTTTCAAAGTATTGGGCGGAATTATAAAATTTATAGTCTGTTGTAAAGAGAATTGTAAGAGCTTTCAAAAGCTTGGGGGTAAAAGTGGCGGAGTCAAAAATACCAGCAAAGAATGTCCACCTTTTAATCTAAAATCGACGGGTCTGAGCGTTTTTCTACAATCATGACGCAGTTCCTAAAAATGGCTCTGTTTCGTTTTCATTTGGCCACCCTGTATATAGGAATTCTAATGAATATTGAGTTAAAATTAATTGTCTATTATTATATTTATTTAAAAATAATATTTTCTTGCAGATCATTAAATTTCTAAATTTCTCAAAATATTATCTCGATTCTCTAAATACACATTTTTTTTTAATTTAAAGACAATGCTATAATTTTTACGGTATAATATAATTTCTCTTGAAATTAGGATAAAACTCATTTTGGACTTCAGTTTCGGAGAATTGTTCCAACAAATATGTACGGCATTGCAATTTTCATTCTTTATGTTATATTTCTGACGAAAATGTGTAAATGCCGTATAGTATTAATGACCTAAAAATGTAGTAAAAATTTAATGAAAAATATCAGCTATGTAAAATCCACTAGTTAAAAATGTATGCCATTGGGTTTTTTTTATTTTTTTACTTATGAAAAGTCAATTACAGCCATAATATTTTGAATATAATATTTTTAGTTTATACCAAGGAATTTTCAAAATATTGTAAATTTTCACAATATATTTATTTGTTTTTTAATTCGCATTTTTAATTTGTACCATTAATTATAACCGGCCATGATTTAGTACGATAGTTTTTGGTTATATTTTATCAAAAAAGTGGTTATCATACACGAATTAATTATCTTATCGAAAAAAAAATAAAAATCATTTCCAAAATACAATTAATTGTTTATAAACATTTGCATTAAATCATTTTCAGATGGAATCGAAGCCGTACATTTTTTAATGACTTGAAACAATGGGGGCTAAAATAGAGGGTTGTGCCCTGCATTTTTAACCCCTGTATCAGCAGATACGTACGGCATCACTAAAAAAGTTATCTACGTATCAATCCGAAACTTGCAGTATAAATGCCGTACTATAGTAAATCACTAAAAACCGGGCCAAAATTTTCAGAAAATCAAAAATTTTCCTAGCTTCCGGTATTGCTATTTTTATACGGCATTAGGTCTATACTCCGCGGTCGAAATTATAGAGAGTGATTCATCGCTAGCTTTTGGACTAGTAAGAAAATCCATTGGCGTGTCTGCGTAAAAGGCAACAATATATTGAAAATAATGAAAAAAGATAATAAAACATAACATCTAATGTTTTTTACGGTTTGCTATAACGGGCACTTTGATCCATTTTAATTATTACAGCATTTTAAAACGTCCCAATTGTGTTTTTTTAATTTATAAATTTATTATAGCCATGGAATTAGACCCCTCGTCTACGCTTATGCTATGACGTTTCTCAGGACGGGTTAAATCAAGTCCGTTTACACCCACTAAAAAAGCATTTCCCTATTCCCTACCAAGTGCAAAAGACAGAGATAGAATATAGATCGACGTTCAGTGTAACTCAGTCTATAGACGATTATAGATTCTATCGATGTGCGTAGCGAGCGGCACAAAGATAAATAATATTGAACCGTATAAAAATCATTTTATATTTTATACGCATTATGGTAATAGTGTTTTTATATTATGTCTTAGTCATTCTTTATAATTTTGACCGCGAGGTATAGGTTAATTTTTTTTGTATAAACCACTCCCCTTGGTGGACAGGTATAGTGTACTCACCTGTACCAACAAGAATTGACGGCATAGTTTCTAAAGTTATTGTTATATGTGGTAATATTGATTTATAAGTACTTAATTCATGCTGGGTCAAATGACCCCTTGAAAATTTCCGATTTCCGATTGTCCCGAAATTCATGCAACAAAATTTGGTCATAGATTCTTAAGACAAATTTAAGGGACCAGTATTTTTTCTTTTTGCCAACTGGCCCCCTCTTTCGGAATTACAGCCCCCTGAAATCTGCCCCTAAGAAGTCTTTTTTATATCTCAAATCCATGTTGTATGAGAATCACTAAATTTGGTACACAGGGGTTTTATGACATATGAAATCTCACAGTGCTATTCTTTTTGGCGAGAAACCCCCTTAAGACACTTTTTCGTGGGTCCCCTTGTCTTTGGAATAAGAAAAATTTGGTCGCAAATTTGATTTCTTTTTTAAATTATTAGTTAGCTAGAAAGCCATTGAATTTAGAAACTTTTTTGTCTCTTGATATTTGTTTCGTAAAACGCAATGTTTTTGAGCAAAAAGGCGAATCACGATATGCATTCGATTACATTTTGACATTTTTCTCGAAAACATTGCGTTTTATGAAAAAAGTACAAAGAGACAAAAAGTTTCTAAATTTAATGGCTTTCTAGTGGACTGATAATTTTTAAGAAATTTAAATGTGCAATCAAATTTTGGCTCCAAAGACAAGGGGGGCCACGAAAAATGGTCTTAAGGGGGTTCCCCGCCAAAAAACGTAGCACCATCAGATTCCACATGTCATAAAACCCCTGTGTACCAAATTTAGTGATTCTCGTGCAACAAGGTTGAGATAAAAAAAAAGAGATTATTCTTAGGGGCGGACTTCAGGGGGCTGTAACTACGAAAGATGGGGCCACTTGGCAAAAATAAAAAATACGGGTCCCCCAAATTTGTCTTAAGAATCTATGACCAAATTTTGTTGCATGAATTTCGTGACACCCTGTATTTTACCAATTTAATTTTGTATTTCCGGAAGTTGTAATGTGCAATCAATTTAACACGACTTCATTTGAAAAACACTGAATACGTGGGCTCCTCGTAGCTTGCCCTTAAATCTGTAGTGTTTACAGCGGTGGTCATGCTTACTATCGCACAGCAGTCTAAGAGGGAGTGAGAGTAGAGCATATTTACTATGATGTTTGGCTTCTGTTTCGTCCGACTGTAACCAAATAATAGCTATTTACTGGGTTTTTTTCTTATTAAACTTAATTCGTTTAAGTGTGGTGTAAAATCTTGAATCTTGTTGCCTATGTACTGTTTCTTGTGTTTTTTAAAAGATTGTAAAAGTTCAAATTAGATTGTAGACAGACTTAGCACTTCAATTGAAAATTCAATGGTGCGAGAAATACCAAACTTTAATGAAAATGTAATTGAAAAGTTTATTTCGGACAAAAATAGAAAAATGGATTTTCACAAGAAAAAATAATGTTGGCACATTTTTACTAATTTCAATAGTACTTAAAATAAAACTATCCAATTAAGTATATTTCATTTTTTTTTTTTTTTTTCAATACTTTGTACATACTATAATTTTTCCGCCTTCTCTAGTATGGAAGTCAAGAGTTGCCACTGGATTCATGACATTTTATTTTGCATAGAAGAATTAATTGTATGATTTGTGGTTTAATTTGTTCAGAAGTTACAAATGTAAATTATACATTTTGTAGGTATCGCCATTTTCAACTACGAAATTCTATAAGGCGATGGTTTTAACTTTTAATGAACTTATTTTTGCTCAATTTAATTTTTTTCTGTTGGATTTCACATAAGTATTGTTTTTAGAAGGGGATATTAAGTAAGAATGCATTTATACCATATAATTTTATTTTTGAATTTGAATTATAACAATTATTTTTAAACCGATAAATATTAAATTAATATCACATTATAAAAAATAAATATGAACATGACATTAAATATTAAAAAACTAACTCGACAAATAATTTCCAAGGTATATGTGAAAAATGTGTATGAGATTACTTGAATTATAAAAATCCATACTCTTCATCAGATATTTACAACAAAATAAAAAAATATATCTAAACTAATTAAGGCTATATGAAAATAATTAGTTCATAGAAAAATAAATAAATTTTTGGTCATAGTCACTTCTATCTAAGAAAAATCACAATAAAAGGTTTATAAATAATTTAAACTTTCAGTGTACATCAATAAATCGGACCCTATATATCTACAGTATATAGTCAAAAATATTCTAGATAAAAATGATTGTACAAGATATATTAGAAAGGGGAATTGTTATAAAAAATTCCTTCTCATTAAATATATGTATCCCTGGCTGATCACAAAATTCATTATAAAAACAAAAAATGGCAATTAGTTTATAGTTAAAGTAAAAGCAATACATTTGCCTTGACAAATTTCGTTTACATACGGACATTTGAAACCGGGACGCTCTTACAAAATTTGAACAACTTTTTTTTTAATTGTAGAGGGGAGAAAAATGTACTTTAAGATCAAGTGTCATCTTTTTTATACAAAAACCAAGGCCTATCAGATCATTTTTGCAGAGTAAAAATTGAAGAAACCATATTAGCGATTTTTTTAGAAAAAATGTAAGTACGTCAGTGAATTAAGCGCCACTTAAATTGGGCTTGTACCAAATTCCATAAAAAAATATTGCATATTAATAGTTTTGCGGCAAAATAACAATTTATAAGATTCTAGTGATTTAGCCGAGTTATGGGGGATGAAAAAAAGAAAAACGACAGAAAAACAGATCCAGTTAATTGTTGACTTTTTGAAGTCAACAATATTTTATAACAAATGCAGCCACATTAAATTTTGGTTGCAAATAAAGCTTGAAGTGATTTAATTTGTAGGGCCATTATAACGTTTATAAATAAGTAGAAATCAATTATACCATTTGTCAAGTCAGGTTAAATTTTAACAGCATCTATTTTGGTCCCGCTAAATTTTAACATATTCGGTTAAAATAAACCCATTAAAATTTTTACAGAATACAGTATCGGGTTAAAACAATGGGAGGTTAAAATTTTAACTGTGGCCGTGACGTTAAAATTTAATCAAAAGCGTTACAGAATAGACCCGATTGTCAGTTATTTTTGACATTTTATTCCATGGCTTGCTTTGTCAGACGAAAAATTTCATAACAAATGTGATTTTTAATTTTGCCACAGATTTGAACACATTCATTTCAGAGGTCACTTAATCCAGTGGTGTACTCAGATTTTTTTACCTTCCAGAAATAATCTAGTAGACCTTGGTTTTTGTACAAAAAGGATGACATTTGGTCCTAAAGTATACTTTTCTCCCCTCTACAATTCAAAAAAAAATTGGTCAAAATCGCCCTGTAAATAAAATTTCGAGGGTGTCCCGGTTTCAAATGGGTCACACTGTATGTATCATGTGCAATTCCATCTGCTAAAATTTGAAGGAATCTGACACAGCACTATTCAGTTCATTTGCTTCTATTTTGAAAAATGGAATAAAAAGCAACAAATTTAAGGATAAATCATTATTTAAAATAGTCTTAATCACAGATGACACAAACATTTCACTACTACAACTATAATTTTTATCGGTGACTTTTAGCACCATTTATGTAATGATTTATGATTACAAGCATTGTTTAATGTACATAATTTCTCAAAATAGGATTCTTAAATTGCCCGATTTAATCATATGGTACATATATATTGTAGAAAACTATGACGGCAGAATAAATTTTGCTGGATGGTACAATACACAAAAATATATATTTTGTCAAGGATACATTTATTTGTGTATATGACGAGTTAAGTAAATTCTCTTTCATCAAAATAACATTTATTCAATTGGAAAAAATTTACTAGAATATAGTACAGTTATACGCAAATAAACGTGTTCTTTTTTCAAAACTTAAGACAATATTTTTTCAGTGAAATTCAAATACGCTTTTATCTATGAGAAATTTAAGATCATAAATAATTGAATGTAGATTAGGAAGTTAATAAAAAGTTATATTGTACCTGTTATATAAACTCATTTACTTAACTTTGATAAGTTTTACTTTGACGATAACAAAACATTATAAAGAATATTAGGGTCTCGTATTGATACACAATAATTTAATTACATCTTCCTCACGACTTGTAAAACTTATCACAATTATGACTCCATCATAGATTTCACAACATTAATATAATGCAATTATATAAGAATAAATAAGTGCTCTAAATAGTGTTGTTTTGATCAAAATAAATAGTATGTATGAAATAACCTCCAAAAAGAAAGAGGAATCAATTTTCGCTAAATGGCATTTCAAAGGCCTGTTCACTCTCAGCACATGAATCCAATGAGTCTTCCTCCTGAGAACATGCCACTGTGTTTCTTTCCAGGGCCTTCATTCGGATATTCATGTGTTCAAACATTTTATCGATTGCACGGAGTCTTTTTTCCAGGCTTGTGGTGCTCAGAAATCCAACCTTAAAATTAAAATTTAACAATTAGGACAAAATTATGTTTTTACAAAAGCATATACTGTATTTTTTCAAAGAACAGGTGCTTTATTGTTACATTCAAATTACTATGACATTTGTGAAGTGACAGTTTATACAAAAAATGTTCCTTAGTTATTTAAATTAGGAAGATTATAAGGGAACACGAGTTGTTTTTGGCCTTTGATATAAAGTTCCGATCATAAAAACCCCAACAGATGGTTTGTTTGTCTGTTTTTGTCTGCTTTTAATTCTTTTGTTTAGCATTTCAGATATGTGTGTAGATGGAGTAAAAGCGCAATGTGGATAGTGATGTCACCCATAGGCAAGGAAGGTAAAAGGCCATAAGCATCCTGTCACGCCCACCCGCACCCTTACCTTTCCCCCAAAAAGGCAAAAACTGCCCTAAAGGGGAGTTAAACGCGAATATAACCAATTCCCTCACCAACATCTACTTTATCACCCATTTTTAAGGGGGTGCGGATGGCATGACCATATGTTAGTGGGCTTTATCTCCTTTGAACTGGGTAATGAAGTACCTGTGGCCAGTGGAATACAGGGTGAGTCAGAAAGAATGGGTCAACAATAAGCTGGAGATACTAAACACCAAAATATTATGTTAAAAATCTAAAAGAACATTCAATAAACGTTCATAAAAAATGTATTCTTGTTTAGGTCACCTAACTTTATCGGTTTCTAAGTTATTTGTATTTAATAGTTTCAATGTATGTATTTTGTGGTGATTTTTTATTCTCAGAAATTGGTAATAGTAATAATAACAAAACTTAAATGAAATGCTGGAAGTGTCCACCACCTACCTCAATACATTTTACTATACACTCTTTTAAATGTCCCTGAATATTAAACAAAATGTCCCTATTATTTTTAAATGCATTCACGGCTACTTGTATTTTCTGCCGCAACTCCTCAACAGAATTAATTTCTTCACGATACACCACGTCCTTCAAGTTTTACCATACTGAGAAGTCCAGAGGGTTTAAGTCTGGACTTTTCGGAGGCCAACGAAATTCACTCCCACGGCCAACCCACCGATGAGGAAAATGTTCATTTAAATACTATCGTACTGGCAAGGCAAAATGTGGTGGTGTACCATCGTGCATAAACTACATACTCTCTCTTAAAGCGAGTGGTACATCATCTAGAAGCTCGTTTATATTATGTTGAAGAAAGTTTAAATAATGAGGTCCAGTTAGATTGGTTAGATTGGGATTCAAAAGGTCCTATGAAAAAAACAGAAATTAAACTACACCAAATATTCACCTTAAGCTCATGCTGAAAAGGTCTTTCTTTTACAGCATGTGGATTTTCGGAATCCCGCAAATGATTGTTCTTCCAATTGAAAACTTCCCGTCTAGTAAATGTTGCCTCATCGGTAAATAGAATCTTATTGAGGAAATCTGGGTTTTCCATTTGCATATTTTGTACAAACTAAGCAAATTGTAGGCGAGCTGGTAAATCTTGAGGCAATAACTGCTGAACCGGAGTAGAATGATATAGATGGAGCATTTGTTTTTGCAAAATTCTACAAATGGACGATTGGCTTACCCCCATTGCCGCACTTAACTGACGCGTACTCAACCGAAATTTTCCGAAACACGAATTAAAATTTCCTCTTCTTCGTCGACTGTGATAGATTTTGGAGATCATGGTTACTTTTTGGTTGAAAAAATCCCGATTTGCCTAAGCGGTTGTAAAGATTTCTGAATAGTTTATAATTAGGTTGCAATCTATTTGGGTATGTGTTAATATCTTCGGGCCATCGCATGTCCATTAAAATTAACCTGGGCAAAAACACAAATCATATCAAGCACCTCACTGTTTGAAAAATTATTATGTCGTGGCATTTTTTGATCACTAGCGAATAATAAATCACACGCATGCAAAATAGGTACAGTAATATTTATTGACATGAAATTTTGACACAAGCCTACTTAGAAAAGAAATAGCAATATCAACGCCTGAAAGAAAATCACCACAAAATATGTTGAAACTTTTAAATGCAAATAACTCAGAAACGTTCTTTTAGATTTTTAACTTTTTCTAAGCATAAGCATAAGATCAACAGATTAAAAAAATATGTTTTGATTTACCTAAATAATACAGTGAAACAAGCGCCCTCTAGGAGCAACGTCAAAATAAGCTTCAAATTCGTAATTCTCATACCAAAAAACCCAACACTACCAAATCTCAGAGTCATGCTATCAAAACTTTTTTAATTATTGAGAAATTTCAGAATAAAATTTAAACTCTGAACACCTTGTATTTCGTAAACCGGCTACATTCGTATAAGGCATGATAAGTTCAAACACAATATTTTGGTGTCTAGTCTCTCCAGCTTAGTATTGACCCATTCTTTCTGACTCACCCTGTATATGTATTTAATCCCTATTGGAGGCAGTTTTTGACTGGTTTGGGGTTAAGAGGGTGCAGGTGCGTGACAGTATGTTCATGTGTTCATGGGCTTTGCCTTTCTTGCGAATGAGTGACATCACTGTCCACATTGCGTTTTTACTCCATCTACATACATGTCTAAAATGCTATTAAAAAAGGAGTAAAAGTGACCAAACACAGACAAACAAACTAACATAAAAAATAACTCCACAGCAATTTTCGATTTTGACAGAAACCACTTTTTAGTGCAATTAGACAACGCCCGAAATGCTTTGAAATGTTCGTTTGGAAGTGGAGGAAATATTTTATTATTGTATGGAAGCGGAAAGAAACCAATTCTACCATTTAATAAAATAATATTCATTGATATTTTGTATTCTTTAAGTTTAGTGATGATTTTATTATTGCCATATCCAAACCAAAATTTTAAAATTCATAATAATATGTTGTCGTGAGCAGAATTGAAAATGCTTTAAAATGAGATGTCACTCAACTGTAGGTTAAAGTTTAAGGGTATTTTATGAACGGGTAGCTTCCAAGACACCAAAACTTACGCCATCATGTGTTCCCCTTGAAAAGAAAATTGACGTGTTTCAGGTTGTTTTTTGTTTTTTTTTTTTAATTACGATAACCTTACGAACACCCTGTATTTCGAAACTTTCATCCCGATTATTAATGTATTTAAAAAAAATCACATTACTCATAAATAAATAGTTCTCTTTTCCATAAGAAAGTGAAAATAACAAAAGATATCTTAAAAGTTAGTCAATAAAAAAATATATAAAATGAGATAGGTAATTTAAATTCAAAATGTATTTGAAAAAAATGGAATTTATTTTGTAGTTTCCAGAAAAAATTCTGTATAAAATTCATTCATGTTTCATAGACTGGAGTGGTTAGCTCGTCTGTATCTTTTACAATGTCGAATATTTTATTCCTAGCTATTACCTTTAGAAAATTATTAAAAGTTTTCTGAAAAATTTAAAGAATTATTGTATCTAATAATACACTGTGGTTACATAACTTCAAAATTGTAAAACCATTTCCATTTCCAATTAAGCATAAGTTAGTGTAATTGGATCGTCATTTTCTACTTATCTACTAATTATTTGAGGTCGGAGTAAATGAGTAACTATGGGCATTATAACAATAATTGCATAGTGACTTAAGTGACTGCAATAAGTACGAATATTATTTTTATCGCTAACTCAGTACTTTCTTACCTGTAACTGTGAACTGAGCGGCAAAATTGGCATCAACCACCATGTCCATGAAGGCCCATCAGGTAGACTGAGCCAGTTTTTTTCAACATTGGGCATTTGACCGATGAGCCTCTCCACCTCTGCCAGCACTTTTGGTTTCAAAGATCTTATCCATTTTGAAGCTTTAGAGTAAACTTTTTCATGTAACGCCAACAATTCTGGAACCTTTTCAGCAAGTACCACACTATCTTTGACGTATTGAACTTTCGCAGTGTCATATCCATCCTACAACAGAAAATGTAACGTGAAAACCAATTTTTAACTTGTCAATTATTACAAAACTGTTTGAAGAGTATGGAAAATTTAACATTTGCTGACCTGTTCATTTCTGCTAATAACTTTGAACCTCTTCACACCGACAGTGGTCAAAATGTATCTTCCATCTCCCAAATTAACGGCATCTTTCACCTCTAGAATGGTCCCGAATTGTACGAACTTATTTCCATTGGATTCCTTACTAGCCATTGCAAATCGTTTTGTTGGAGATTGAAGACACCTTCGTGCTAAAAGCCTGTATCTCGGTTCACAAACGTATAAGGGGCAGGCTACACCAGGAAAAGCATTAGTGCACACAAAAACAGGAATCTGTAAAATTGTTTAAATTAGAACTAATTCTAGGAGTAATTAATTTGCTTCAAACTCACATCAGAACTTCTCTCCAAAATAACACTTTCCTTCAAATTTACCGACACTCTTTCCTTGAAGTCTTTGGGGACCAGAAACTGAATGGCTTGTTGCAACACGACTGTCGAACCTCTGGAATAGTCCCTTACATTCAGAGTTGCCATACACAAAGGGCACGACAATCGGTGGTCCAAAACCCTGGTCAGGCATCCTCTACAGAAGGTGTGACCGCAATCGGTTGTGACAGGATCCAAAAGACATCGACTGCATAGGATGCATTCTAGGTCAGTTACAGTTATGCAATCCCAGCTATTTTTTAAGGCTTCTTCTGTAATCAAACGAAGGGGGTTGGAGGATAATCTTGTTTAGATGTTAAACTAACATTGGATATTTGATGTTTCAAATTTTGCAAGAATTAACGCATGATATTTTAATTGGCTGCACTGATAATTTAAACAAACTAAATTAAAAAATACAAGTGCAATTCTCTAGGAAAAACTAAGTCTAGAATCTAGAAGGGTTATAATTAAAATAGATTTAATTTAAACGTTTAGTCATATTTATTTAGCTGCTATTATATCTACAAGGTGTTCCAATTAAAACTTCCCACTTGGAAAATCGGAATTAAAAAAACATCTGAGACATGGCGATTTTTTTTTCAAGGGGGACACGTGATGGCGTAAGTTTTGGTGTCTTGAAAGCTACTCCTTAGGCAGGGGAGTAAAATGCCCTTAAACTTTAAATGGCACCCTATGTTGAGTGACAGGTTACCTCATTTTAAAGCTTTTTCAATTCTGCTCACGATGACATACAACTTTTTAAATTTTGGATATGACATTAAAATCATCACTTAAAGAACAAAATATCAATGAATGAAAGAATGTTATTTTTTTAAATGTTCAAATTGGTTTCCCTCCGCTTCTATACAATAATAAAATCTAAAATGCTTCGAAATGTTCTTCGGAAGTGGAGAAAAGATTTTATTATTGTATGGAAGCTGAGCAGGAAAGACAATTTAAGCATGTAATAAAATAACATCCTTTCATTAGTTGATCTTATTCTTTAAGTGATTTTATTGTCACATCCAAATCAGAATTTAAAAAGTCGTACGTCGTCGTGAGCAGAATTGATAACATTTTAAAATGAGGTGTAACTCAACATAGTGTGTCATTTAAAGTTTAAGGGTATTCTACTCCCCTGCCTAACGGGTAGCTTCCAAGACACCAAAACTTACGCCATCACGTGCCCCCCTTGAAAATAAAATCGACGTGTCTGTTTTTTTTCTAATTCTGATATTTTCGAGATGGGAAGTTTTAATTGGAACACCCTGTATATGTATGTATCAAAACATTTTCAATCTACATCTTTTCCAGATGTATTTCAATTTAATTTCAGGAAAGTTAAACTTAGAATTCTGACTTTATGCTTAAATACTTTTAGTCCACAGTACAGACCCCCTCTGGAAAGTTGATTACCACATACTTTGTAACTCCTGAGGGGCATCCTTTTGACGAGTCTACCACATTTTTCCTCTGCGACTTTTCTCGATTCCTCCGCTTTTCCACTCGGAAAAGTCCATAAACATGGCAATTTCCCGGGGTCTTGAAAACTCAAGACCACATCTTTTATTTTTAGCTTAAGTAACTGGAAATTTTGTTGCAAATGCCGATTTAAATTTGTCCGACAGAAATTCCTCCGACATTGACGTGTCTACCGGTCGAAACATGCCAAAATAACAGGGTATTGAAAATCAATTACCACATAGGTAATTTTTAGTAAAATTAATTGTAAATAATTAATTCAGTCAAAAAGTATTGTTGTCCGACAAATTTCAAGCCGCGTTTTTTCAGTCCGACAGCTGGAAATCGGAATTTTCACGGGGTATGAAAAATCGATTACCACATATCTAATTTTCATTTTTTCCACTTTTAAATTTACTGTACAAAATAGTGATATAAGTGTCCGACGATTTAATGTCCGCAAATTATTAAAAAATCAATAAATCAATAAACGTGATGAAATTTAATTTTTTCACTCCAAAAATTTCATATTTATAAATGGTTATTAATTATTATTATGTAAATTATTATTTGTTTCAAATAAATAATTATAATATTGCTTATTTTATGCTTAAAAATTTAAAAGTTATAAACAAATGAAGTTATTTTTGAGGCGATTAATACGATCTTAGTGCATAATGCATTATTTCTAAATAAATTAATATTATACTTGATATAAAAATCCTTTTTTCTCTTTCAAGTTTTCATTCGCGTTTGTTATTTTTCTTTACAAAAATTTTCCTATTTTTCTAAAAGAAAATCCCAAAACTTTTGTGCATAATTTTTTTACACCATACATACTTTTTTGAAATCGTTTAATTCTTTTCTCGATATTTATTTGGCTAAATTGAGCATATAGAGATTTACAATTACAAGAATAAAACGAAAAATATATACAGGGTGTTTCAGAAAGACCTCCCGTAAATAAAGGGGGTGATAGTACGACAAAAAATGAAAATTTTTTCTTATGAACTATATGTCTATCTTCTCTTGTTTTCGAGACACAGAGAGACAAAATAAAATTCTTTAAATAACATTTTTATGAAAATTTCCAAACGGTGCGAAATAGTTTTATGAAATTTGGTAGTCCGGGGTTTTTAAGGGTGCCAAATACGCTAGTCTAATTATTTTTTGTATATTTCATAGAGGGCGCTAGTTATGCTACATTCTTATTACATTTTAAGTTCTATTTTTTTAAGGTTCGGTTTTTTACCATTCGGGGTCCAATTTCTATTGTACAATTTCATTTTCTAAAAATAATGTACTCTTGTTAGAACTTCCTAATGTGGACGATTTTCGAGAAAAAATGCTTTTAATTAAACTCTTACAATATTACACTATAAAATTAGTGACTTTTCTCAAAGCAAATTTCATAAAAATATTTCGCACCGTTCGGAAATTTTCATAAAAATGTTATTTAAAAAAATTTTTTTTGTCGCTCTGTATCTCGAAAACAAGAGGATAGACATATAGTTCATATGACAAAAAATTCTTATTTTTTGTCGTCCTCACCCCCTGTATTTACGGGAGGTCTTTCTGAAACACCCTGTATTGTATATTTATATGGAATTTTGCTTAATACATGAAAATACCTTATTAGAAATTATAAATACATGTGCACATTTTTTACGAAATTTTTTTCATCATTTTTTGTCGGACTGACGATTTGCGGATATATTTTTGTCGGACATTACAATTTTTGCTTATAAAAAACACTTTTCTATCGTGTGTTATTTTTGTCCGACATGTGGTAATCGATTTTTCATACCCCGTGAAAATTCCGATTTCCAGCTGTCGGACTGAAAAAACGCGGCTTGAAATTTGTCGGACAACAATACTTTTTGACTGAATTAATTATTTACAATTAATTTTACTAAAAATTACCTATGCGGTAATTGATTTTCAATACCCTGTTATTTTGGCATATTTCGACCGGTAGACACGTCAATGCCGGAAGAATTTCTGTCGGACAAATTTAAATCCGCATTTGCAACAAAATTTCCAGTTACTTAAGCCAAAAATAAAAGATGTGGTCTTGACTTTTCAAAACCCCGGAAAATTGCCATGTTTCCGAGTGGAAAAACGGAGGAATCGAGAAAAGTCGCAGAGGAAAAATGTGGTAGACTCGTCAAAAGGATGCGCCTCAGGAGTTATAAACTATGCGGTAATCAACTTTCCAGGGGGGAGCTGTACTGTGGACTATTTGATTTAAAAATGAAATACAATTTACAATTCTAAATTAAATTTAATTTCAGAATGTTCTGTACATTCTGAAATACAATTGACACTTTATAAAATATATACACGGGGTGTCCCAGAAATAAGGTCCAACATTTTGACCAAATATTATATTAAAAAAAATACTCGGCAAGGGTCGTTATTTCTTTCGATGAGTGGTCATAATCTTGGCCTCTTATCTAGGACACCTTGTGTATAATATAATAATAAAAACATCAAATTTTGCACAAGACCAAGCTTGAAAGTATTGACTCACCTTTTATATCGTCTACTTCTTTAAAAATATTTTCTAACGTTTCTTGAAAGTAATCACAATTTTCTGTATTTTCTTTAAGCGGGCTATTATAAAAATGACTGTTCCTTAATATTCGACTTTCATTTTTATACCTTGGAATTTTTTCCTTGTGGTAGCGAAAATCAATTATCTGGAAAAACAAATAAGCATTAGGTACATTTATGCGTTTCTTCTATTTAGTGCTGTTTATACAAAAAACATTTATAAATAGTCGTGTGTTACTGCAAAAATATTCATATGGATGATTTAAAAAATAAACAATGTATTATTATCTTATTTTGACGGCCCACTAAGTGACATTATATAGAATATTTTTAGAAAACGCATATAAAAATAGTCTATATTTTAGGTAGGTGTTTGTTTTGTTACGTTAATCCTTAGTTTCTATATTCGACTGAAAAATAATTGGAGTTGTTACATATAAAGCAGAAGAACAGTAGGAATAATTGATCAGAAACTTATGCAGGTGATTACAAATATTGCGAGATGTTTAAAACTAACAAAACTCAAGGAAAGTTAATATTTTAAAATAACTCGTACCACATTTATGGTTCTTCGCAAAATTATTAAACGCTAATAGCAGTATAGTTCCAAACAGATTCTATTGAGTAGCTGGGCTACTGAAAATTATTTTTAAACAGGAAAATAAAACTGATATCTTTGAATAGTAAGAAAGTTTCTATTTCTAATATTATTCTTGAGGATGCTTTAGAGTTTGATGTGACAATCATAAGTATCTATCATAAAATACAACAAAAAGAAACAAAAAATAACATAATTTTGTAAAGTCCATCTAAGAAATCTTTAGACTGGAACAACAACCTACATAAGGCCTAAAGGCAGAAAAATATTTAGTTCCGAAATTTCTCAATTAATTGGAAAGTGTGTTGGTTTTATCATTTATTTCGTGTTTTACATACGAAATGCAATAAATTGATTTTCACAAAAGAAAGTTTAATTTAATCTTATTTAGTTTGTTTTTATCGCTTTATTGGATAACATAATATAAAATAATAGACGTTTTTACTATTGAAAAAAATGTCAAAGTTGTAATAGAACTAATTGTGTTCCTGCGATTGTTAAACAAAAAATTAATGAGCTTTATTAAAAAAAAATGTTTGCATCCATTGGTTAAATTTGTAGGAACGTGTCAAGTGAAAAAAAAACAGATAAATAAAATATAAAACAAATCACTGAAACATTACCGGAAGCTGTTTAAAAAAATCTCTTAAAAACTACAAATTGTAATTAAATAAGCCGATTTTTCGAAATTTGTTAAAAAAATTGCAGAAGGATTATGATCTGCAATTTTAAGAAAGCTATAGTTTCCAAATATGGATGTGCTTACGGTCTATTAAAAAAAAATGTTTGAATTTGACTTGTGTGCCTGTATATCTATAAAGTATGTCAAAAAATAACAAAATAACACAAATAGTTTCTTAGATTGTAGGTGACATTACGTTAATTTTTTTAACTTTGGTATAATACACATTAATAAAAACAAAATATTTATTGTTACCTTATGCATATTGTTATTTATTTGAAGACCAGCATATCCTGACCTGAGATGGTACCTTGGCTCTAAACCCAAAATGTCAGCTGCTTCAGGCACTACACAATCTGGAAAAAAATACGAAGATTCATGTAAAAATTGATTAAATCGAATTATTTCATCTCGATAATTGTTATTAAATTGTTTAAAAATTTACAGAAAGCACGTAAGGAAGAAAGAGTGTATTTATATTCAGTTTTGTAGGTATATGTTACCGAATAGTAAGTATTTAAATATTCCAGCAGTTCTGTCAATGGCAAGTTAAAAGCACAGTGCATTTACGTAACTCCGTAACAGTATACAATTATGTACAAAACCAATCACGTTTTATAAGGAATATAACTAAACTTATTATATATTGAAATTCAATCGTGTATATTTAACTTGTGTATGTAACACAATAATGTAACACACTTTATTATTTTTCTTATTCCAACCGACAGGCTGTTAATTAAATACGTGTTTTAAGGAGTTACATAAATTGTTTATTTTATACCCAGCTGCTGGGTTACAAATCCTAGCGACTATTATTCATATACTTAGATAAACACATTCCATTATCGTCCAATTTTTAATGGGAGTTTTAATTTTATATCAGTTCCCCCAAATAATGTGTCAATATTACCTCTATCGCTGGTAAGGATCTTCAAGATCATAAAATATTAATCTGGAATGTTTTATGTATTTTTATGAATGTTTACATTGTTAAATAATGAAATGTTGACAGAACTTAAATCTACAGGGTGATTCATAAACGATAACCAATGAAACCTCGTATTCTTTGGAGAATTTTAATGGGACTCTTTCGTATAAAGTTTTTATCTAGGACGCTTTGTTAAAACGATTCAGTGTTAAACTGAAAAAAAATATTTTAGATTTTTTTAATTATGTAATTTAAAAACTAGTAAGTGAAATAATTCGAAATGTGGCACATGAATTTATATAAACATTGTTCAAAATCTGAGGCTTTTTCCTAAAATTTAGTTGCTCCAGTGGCGGAGATACAGGGTATCGGTAGCATATTTTTCTAAATAAAATATATTCGTCTTTCAATTTTCTACAAATTACCTCTCTCTTATGTTTTTCGAAAAAAGCCTGATTTTCGAGTAAAACTCAAAAAACGAAATGAGAACACACTTCATATTCGAATAAAATTACATAGTAGGCTGCGATAGCAACTTTGACATTCTGAACAGTTAGAAGAAAGAATAAATAATGTTTTTCATCAGATTCAAGCAACAATAGATTTAGAACAAATTTCATTTTCGTTATTAAGAAGAATAATTTCTTTATTCGAATAAATAACCGAATGATTAGTGTTTGTCATGTCACAAAGCTAAAAGATTAAAAATAAATACTCTCCGAGAAAATTAACAATTCTCATTACTTTTTGATCAAACCTTATAGATTTCCTAGCTTCTAGTTTACTGGTTAGTTTTAGTCGCATCGCTGTAATATTTGAACATCAATGGATTGACGTCCGCTATTTTATTGTTGAAATGTGCAGGGGAAGGCAGTAGAAAAGGTGTCTCATCTCGTGAGTCAATTTTTTTCATTAGCAACATTGTTGTTTTTTTAAACAATTTGGGTCGAAAATCAGGTTTCCCAATAGGTATATTGGAAAAACCACTAATTTTAGAGGAGAATGTTCAGCAGGCGAAATATGCGCAATAAAAATATCTACAAAATGATTAAAGATTAAAGTCGAATAAATTGTTTAAAAGTTTAAAAAACGCATTTTTTTAATTATCCATAACTTGGTTGTTATTTGTTGGAATTTTATAAATATGTCTAAAAGTTGTGAGTTTTATTGTTCTTCAAAACTGTGCGAAAGATGAGCGCTGTGGGCCCAATAGTTTTTGCAAAATTCTATTTTTTATCCCGTCAAGGTCAACAATGCATAACTTCAACCTTCTGTTTCTCCGAAAGTTAATAACAAAAAAGGGTTTATAAAGTCGATTTTTAAAGCTTAAAACCTAACTTAGCTTTGTATTTAAATGGAATTTTGATTTATTCCCAGGAGCCCTTTTGATTTTTACAGAGGCGCTGTGATTTTTTGAAAAAAAGTATCTAGTCTCCAAAAGGATGTAGGAACATTTAAATAGTTGTTTTTTAATTCACACTTTTTATAATTAAATATTATCCATGGTGTTGGAGATAATCTAAATGTTTATAAAAAAAAAAGTGGTAAAGAAAGACTATTTTTTAAAGTAAAATCTCTTGGGAATTTTTAGAGATTTACCAACTTTACGATTTTGATATATGTATGTTTTAACGAATATTTGATCTTATGACAATTTCTTGATTTCAGTGGGCTAAGCATATTCAATGCAAAACTGCAGGTAATTTTTTAAGGACAGTTTTTAACTAAGTCAAACCATTTTCAGCCTCAAAGCAATATTCAACATTGACAATGTATATTATATAAACGGCAAAATGGTACTTGCAACAGTTCGAATAATGTCTATTATTCAAAGTAAACTTATTTGTATTAATATATTATAACGATGTAACTGTACAGTAAAATAGCGTTCCAAAATGTAAATCATGAAAGATCTAGAAGTGACGGGAAACACGTGAATACCTAGCTGCCTATACATTATTAATACCTATTTTGCATTATTAAAAAAATTACCGTTAAAGTGTAATTTGAAGTATTTATTATGTACCTATTCTATATTGAAATATTCAATATTGAAAACCACCTCGGCAGTATTTAATAACTTTTTTTAAAACACTTCTAAATAAATAAATAGGACTCCGAACAAATTTAAATTTGTTACGAGTACATGTGTTGCCAAGAATTTTTCAAATTCGATGTCTACGTATCCGTGAGAATAAATTTATGAATTTAGTTTGCAGGTAATTCTACTCCTACACATAGACTGCGTTTATTACTAACAACTACCTATACAGGGTGTTTCAAATCTAGTGCGATAACATTACATTCTCTGAAAATGTTACAGAGAGGAACATGGCTAAATTAGATTATTGAAATGTTTAATATAATAATACGTATTTGAAGAGAAATAAAGCATTTACTTCGATTTATTTAAAAACCTGTAGATGATAAATAGGAAACACAATCTTAAGGCCATATTCATTTTTCTATTCGAATATGAATTCAGATTTTCAGTGTGCGCTATTGGAATTCTCATTTTGCGACTCCAATGAAGAATAAGTGAAGATGGATACTCCTTACATGTTGACCAAGCTCATCCTACCGTAAATGGCACAGAAAAGGTATAATCCGTAAAAAACTAGGAGGCGAACGCTAAAATGACATTTACTGGCATTGTTGTAGGTATTCTTTTTTGTTTTCCAGGCATACATGATTAGTCAAAATACGTCTGTTATCAATTAGGCGACCGGGCGCTAATAGTGCGGTATTGACTAATATTTTGATGCTTTTTCTGTAATACATGTTTCACAAAAGTAAACTTTATACAGGGTGGGCCATTAGTGCGAGGAAGTAAAATAACTCCCTTGTTATTCATCATCAGAAAAAAAGTTTATATAAAAGTTGTACAGAATCAAAAAAGGACAAAATTAATTTGAAACCACAGGGCGATGAGTAAAAACGGGACATGCCAAATATTACATTTTTTAAATGGAAGACCCTGTATATTTCTAAATATGGATTTCCGAGAATATATGGCAATATAAACGGTTTAACATTTTAGTGCGGGGTTGCCAAGTAATGTAGAAAATTCTTCGAATTTTGGAAAAAAACATGACCTCGAAGAAGTTGTATTAACTTTCAACTGCTAACACTTGGAGCTAAAATATTTGACAGAGTTATAGGCAAATGTTAGACAAAGGCTCATATATTAGCTAATATCGATATTTTATACAGGATATTTTTTATAATACGATCATTTTAAGAAAGGTCAAACTTGATTTTCTAAAATTTTTCAAATGGGCCACCCTGTATTTTATTGTTCTATTTTATTCACATATCAGTCCACTTCAACTTTTATTAAGTATGTTCTACATCTAAAGTTAGATAAGCAACATTTCTGGAAAAATCTAATTTTTATTATTTTCGGTCGCACGAAATGGCTTTGGAAAAAACTGTAACATTATAGTGTCAACTTGTCAGTTCATAATTTATAATTCCATTTTGAGTTAATTTTATTAGTTAATATTTATTTGTAGTATTCTATAAAATAATATAATTAAGTTTTTTTTCAGAAATGTTGCTATATCTTAAAAACTAACGATTTTAGATATAGAACATACTTAATAAAAGTTGAAGTGGACCCATATGTAAATAAAATAGAACAATAAAATAAGGGTGTTCCATTTGAAAAATTTTAGAAAATCAAATTAAATTAAATTAAACCTTCTAAAAATGATCGTATTATAAAAAAATACCCTGTATAAAATATCGATATTAGCTAATATAGGAGTCTTTGCCTAACATTTGCCTATAACTCTGTCAAATATTTTTGCTCCAAGTATTAGTAAGTAGTTGAAAGTTAATACAACTTCTTCGAGGTCATGTTTTTTCCAAAATTCGAATAATTTTCTACATAACTTGGCAACCCCGCACTAAAATGATAAACTGTTTATATTGCCAAATATAGAATTTTCTCGGAAATCCATATGTTTAAAAATATACAGGGTGTATATCGTTGAATTCAGAATAGAAATCTAAACAATAATAAAGCTGTAAATTCATAGAATACAACTCCAATATTTGCACTTTCAGCCTGTAAAAAATACTATTCTTTACATAACTATAAAGTTAGCAAAGCTTGCAATGCGATTTAGTGATTTTGCAGAGAGCAGAAACAAACCGACAAAATTAATGCCTGGCTCACTTACTGAGAACAATAAGCACTGAAATGTTTTTGGCGAGCAGAAGAGCCTGAGATAAATGTATCTAACCTCATTATCGGTACGACTGTTTGTTTTAAAAAGTAAAACCTTTGTGCGGCTCGAAACAAAGGATTGATCTATGAACGTAAGCCAGATTTCAAAGGAAAATTAAGGGAACGTAACACTTTAATTTTCATTTTCAAAAATAAACAAAAGTGGATAATTGTAGACATAATTATAAGAC